AATTGGTAGTGCGTTAGCTTAAACAAACTCGCAAGCCTTGATAACACGGCTTGAACACTTTAACGGCCAATGCGAGTCTTCAGTCGGTGACCTTGGCTCTGTCCAAGCTTCGCGGGAAATTTCTGCAGACAGCGAATCATCAACTCGGCAGCCTTTTCTGCATCCAAGCTGGAGTTGGGTACCAGGCAAAGGAGGCAGCTGCAGCCTTCCAGCATGACTCCAGGATCATCTTCAAACTCTCGCATGAGTTCCTTAAAGCGCTTGCAACAGCAAAAGCATGTCTCCTTGCATGTTGAAGCAATGAAGCTCGGCTGTCAATAAGGCTTAGGCCAGTATCATGTCGTGACCACCAGAAGCGATGAGCAGGTCTTTGCCGAGGGTTCCTTGTGCTATGAAGTGCAGAAGTCGGCAGCCGCGCTGGTAAGCTGTGCGAGACACAACACCATCCAAAGCTCCTCGCGAAGCTGGGCATGTTGTCGAGCATGTTGTTTGAAAAAAGCATTATGGCACATGGCATTTAAAAGTGAACCCATGCTAAATAAAGGATTGCTCTCTGTGACACAAGTGGCCTTGCGATGTGCGCATCGCCAGATCAACCACTTCAACTGTTACCGGCGGGCCACTGTGACGTCTGCTGCCCTTGAGAATCACGATCAAGAGCTCGAGAGACCTTTAGGGAAGGAATGCTCAGGGATGTTCACTACACTACACTTACAGGGGATGATACTGAAAGCCAGGTCTGCAAAAGGGTGGCCGAGACTTATGAAAACCTTAGCTTTTTGGGCTATAACTTCTTTTGACAGTGGCTTGCGGCGCCCAACCTATCAAGTTCGAGGCGGCTCGCCTTCACTCCAGCTTTTACAGCTCTGGCAGCCAATTCATGGCCTGATGCGCGGAGGATCCAATGCTGGACGACACAAGTGTGAACGCGGAGCGGCTCGAGCGATGTGGCCTGGGGCGATAAGCTGCTGCAGAGCCGTCAGGCAGCGTGCCAGATGCTCCACATGCTTTTCCTGCCATGGGCTGTCGAATTTGGGTCAGCCCGCATCAGATGCCGCCTATCCTCCGTTGCCAATTGCTCCACCCAATCCTGACCAAGACTTTGTGCAGGCCGAGAGTGCGCAAAAGAATCAGAACGTCACACTGTGAGAAAAAACAGAAACGGAGGACAAATGCGACTGGGGAGCCAACAACGTAGGAATGGCGAAGGTGTCAGTTTTGGTCAGAGTATTGATCCAGGCTATCAACGTTTCGGCCGTCAGGCCGGCAGGACTTTGCAAAGTTGGCTTTCGAACCTGCATCAACAGAGCGGCGAAGGGCTTGCAAGTTCCGAACAACTACACTCCGCGCAAGTTGGGTACCCAAAACATCAGTCGAACACGGTCGGAAGTACAAAACGACAATCAGCCGGGCAGCAACAAGCTGGGGCTGAAAAACCTCAAAATGCACCGAGGTAGTTTCGGTCTAGGACGCTTGTGGGCTTGTTGGATCAGCTTGGGTTGGGCGAGGTTGTCATAAATCAATTGCCCCATGCCACACGCAAGGCTTTCCAAAAGACCAAGCACAGGGTGGATATTTCATAATTCATAATCCATAATCCTGCTCCATGCGGACGTCTTTGCGGGACATTAGCTCTGATCGCAAGACACACAACAGTGTCAACGAGCCGAACATGATGTCTTTCATTCACAGTGCAGGTACACGGAGGCCATAGCAGGTCTAACTTCCGCTGAAACTCAACATGTCCATTGTTGCGTGTGGCAGTAGACCCTCATGATAGTGCTTTGTGGATCCTCGCCGAAGAGAATCATGCCATGATCGCGAAAACATTCGATGACCAACTATCGTTGATGCTCAAGATCATGAATCTGTCGTCGCTGAAATCGATTGGTTGGTTTCTTGAGCACGTAGAGTGGCGTTGGCTTGGTGCAAGACTTCGTGCAAGTGCACAGTGCGACTCTTCAAGCGATCTGTTTCATGACGTACTTCCGGGATGGTCATGTAGTGGTGGCGTCCTCTCTCTGGGTGTGGACTTCGTCTGCTGGAAAAGCACCGAGATCGTCGCTCTTGATGTGGAGGTCGGCGTCTTCAATCTCGTCTGTGGCGATCTCATCGTGATGGTCCCTGCTCATGGTGTGAATAGCCGCGTGAACATGCCTGAACGGCCCTGTCCAACCCTGCTGCGTTCTTCTCTGCGTTCCATGGAACTATTTATAGTCCATGGTGCGGCACAACAATGCTTAGGCTCTGGTGCCCGGTGTCTATATGGGGGCCGGGCGGCCATCGATGCCGAGTCGGCAGGACCTGCTACCAAAGAAGGGCCTCTTGCCTCGACTTGAAGTTTCAAAGAAGATTGGACGGCCTGCCACGATGAGCGACTGTGCGTTTTTCCAGGAACACAGCACCACCCAGGAAGTGGAAACTGCGATCGTTGTTGGAGCCAGTGGTCATCTGAGCGCCATAATGATCCGACTGGCCAAACATCCTCGAAGCGATCCTGAAGGAGCTGGTGCCGCCTGGCTCCGTGGTGGCGATCGCGCTCCTGTCCGTTCATCCGGTTGGAATGATCGGGAAAATGGTGGTACCTGTAAAGTTGGAAGCGAAGATCCGTATGGGTCCTGTGTCTCCCCACCCCTGGACCTGGAGACTTTCGTTCTCGGCCCACGTGGAGAACTACTCGTCGAAGGGGGGAAGAATATTCTGATGCGCCGTCGATGTGGCGGACTACGGTCATGTGCCCTGTCGGAGTGATCTCGATGTACGTCTGTTCGTCGTCGCGTGTGGGTCCAAGATCCTGAGTGCTTGCTGCGAGAGCGGGGTCGTCTTTCTTCGACACTGTCAGATGTTGTCGTTCAGGTTGTTCCTGTCTGCCGTGTGACGGTTGCTAGGATCTCGTCCTCTTGTATTGCAATGTCCCTGCTGGTGTGACTGAAGTGGGTTGAAGTGACCAGAAGCGGGCGGTGTGGAGCAATGTAGGCCAGAAAAGCAACCAACACCTATGTGCTCAGACGAAACATATGGGTGCTCGCCCGATAATGCAAAAGGGGGGCAGCGATCCCCATCCGCCAAACCTTGCATCTTGACCGCGGCGTCGTGCTGATGATAGTGCATGCACGCCGCCTCTAATATAAACAATGTAAAAGTTACGGGAAGGCAGCCATGACATATCCAACGTCGAAAAACGGATGGGTGCACCAAGCCGTAACATAACACCCCGGCTCTACGGTCCAGATCTGCATATATCTGCATCATGCACAAAGAAACGCTAGCTCGATGCGGGGAGTGGGCATATTCTAGCTACTTGTACCGGAAAAGGTAAGCGTGCCGTTCGGATTACATTTCAGGCTCCATAAAAAGATTGTCAAAGCTCAGTACATCTATGCGGTCTGAAATTAAAGGGAATTGGTTTGTGCTCCCGGCGCGGAATGTCGGCTCCTTCCCATCTGGAACCTCGAAACACTTGAATCTCGCCAGGACATGGGAGGAAACCTTTCAGTGATATTTATATATATATACACTATATATACACAAATATATATATGTATATTTAGATATACAGATATATATATATATACATACATACATACATATATATATACATACATATATATATATATGTATATACAATATGTATGTATATACAAAGATACATATCTATCTATCGATCTATCTATTTATCTACCTGTGAATCTGCCCGCTGTAGCAAGCGTGAATACCTGCCTTGGTCACTGTTAACATAAAATGAAACATGCGTGCCACGAGCAGGAAAATTTCCAGCACAACGTGGCCTCAGTTTGTGCTGGCAACTTCTTGTCAGCACCGTTGCCTGAAGGACGTTCGAGCACCTGGACGACCAGACGTGGATCAGCACTAGTCGACCCTTCACCACTGCTCATGTCTTGACATCTACCCGTCACAGCCTCGCGGGTGGTACTGCTCGGAAAGCTGCCACGTCGCCACAAGAGCAGCCCGACAGCCAGGGAGCTAATGCCCACGAGCAGCCAGGCATTGACACGAGCCAGCCAGGCATTGGCACGATCCATGAAGGCTAGATCAGCAGCACCGAAACATGCTTCAGCGTGTCAGAGCCACTCGACAACAATCTAGTCAATTCAATACTAGCCACTTGCATCCTGCTGACTGCATTTTCCATAAAAGGCAGCATGCAAGTAGCACGTAGAATGGAAGCAACATGCAAAATCATGCAAGCATGATTCGGTGTAACAACTGAACCAAGCGCTTCTGATGCGGTCCAGGGACAGATAGTGGTCCTCTTGCTTCCCACCACGTGATCGTTTATGGTCGAATATGATGACATGATGACTCTCGAGCTTTTAAGCGCCAAAGTCTGACACGCCGTCCTCAGTGTTCTCCTGGCCTGGGCCGATGCAAACTATCTATGCGATTCATGGCCTTGGCAGGACAAACCTATGACCCAAGCGAAAAAGTAGTCCAAAGGCTTGAAACCCACGGAGAGCTGTTCAGTCTTGCAAGCAGGCCTTGCTGGAAGAGGATGCCCAAAGCTTCAGCCAACCTGCACCGGAACATCTGGATGGAGGTGTTTGGCTCTGGACTGCATGCCGACTCCGCCCTCAGTGGCTGGCTGTTGTTTGAGCTGAGCTTGCAACACTTTCGGGCTCTCGGCAGGTTCCTCTCAGGCTCAATGCAAGAATGCCTGCATTGCCTCGAGTACCGGAGCTTCAGCCTGGAGTTTCTCCGTCATTTTGAGCGCAAGGTCTTCAGCCAGCTCTCCGACCTACGGCTGCAATCCATAACGATACGGAGGCAGGAGCAAAGTGAAGACCTTCTCCGCGTTGAGATCTTCGTAAACCACACTGCCGGCGAGGACCTGCATGTCAGCATTGATGTCGGAACAAGGAGATACTTAAAACAAGGCTCAGGCGGTTAAATCGCCAAGGAGTACACGAAATGCTGGCACTAATGCACTAGATCTCTTGTGCTGCTCAGCTCACTGCCGGCCTCGGTTCCTGGGTCCGCAAGCTTCTGGGCCAACTCCGCAAATGTCTCTACCTGCAAACAAGAGAAGCTGACTCCTTACAGCTGCGCTCTACCTCGCTAACAGCAGCAGCACCAACATGCACACATCGAAAGGAACCCCAGCCGCTATTTCGATACCAACAGCAACGCATCAAACGTCACATGGTCGGGCTCGCAGTACACATCATACGCATGTCAAGCTTTGGCGACGGTTCTTGGAAATTACAGCAACAAGGGCCAAGAAGCAGCCAAAACAAACGAGCTCAAGCCACAGAAGCGAGACTGTTCTGTTGAGGATATACTAGCACGGATTGCATGCCACATGTATGCGGCATTTGACAACAGCCTACATACTTCCTGACTGGCAAACCCCCTTGTAGCAGACCAGCCCTTGTGGGCAAACGGCTGCCGATAAGTTGGTATGGATGAGGACTTCATATACTTTATGTCTTCATGATTTCAAGAGAGATGTCACGCTGCTCCACTTTCGCATTGGTCGACATAGCTACCTGCTGTAGACAGATCCGCTTGCGGGCAAACAAGACTTCGAAACTGAACTAGCGCAGGCATCTAAAGTAGCGTCCAAACCACGGCTTTGAGATTTCAGGCCTAAACATTTGTCATGACATGCCACGCCAAGAGATATTTGGCCATTTGAGCATGGATCTTGTGATGTAACACAACTAAACTCTTTTGTCCATCAGCATCCACACCCACGGTTTGAGGAACGTTTTCCATCCCTTGCTGTGGCCTTAAGGGTCTCTCTTACTGTCTTGCCGTCGCAGTTGCTCTGGGTCTTGCTTGCTCTCTCAAGCAAACTGAGAAGTCATCTCCGAGGACCTAGCAAGTTGCTCCTGTAGAGCAGCATAGGTTGCAGTCGGCCTGAGCCACTGAAGCTTACGCGGAGACCTAGGAATATGATGGGCGCGCATCTGCAGCCTTCTTTGCAGGCGTTTGATTCACAAGTTGCAGCAAAGAGGCTCTATCACCGCTTCTTGCTTGTTCTCCTCTGCCATGGGCAGACAGAATGCTATTTGTCGAAATCAGTTCAACATCTCAGGGAAGCGACTCCCTCCTGGGCTGAAGGAAGAGAATGCTTCAATTCCTCAAACCGGCAAAGGCACGCAACACACCACTGGCAGCAACCGACCATGTAGATCAGATCTTGACAAGCTAAATAGTCTGCACCGAAATTCTCCAGACGAACGCTGAGTGAGCTGATCCACGAAGGTCACGCGTCTGCTGAGTCGAAGGCCGTGCCTTGCGATCGTTCCCAAATTGCGCAACCAAGTTACCCTTGCTGCGCTTCACCTGCAGCCTGGGCTCGACAGAATCTCATCGGCATTCCAGACTGCCTCAGACACCACCAGAATCGATGTAGTCCACTTTATCATGTGCCCTCAAACAATGGCCATGGACATTCATGGACTAACATGGAGCAATGTCCAAGCAAGGCACAGCATCCGCCGAGATGGTTTCCAGCGTGCCCTCGAAAAGCCCAGGAGGCCGAGGAGAGATCTTCTGCTCTTCCATGGGCCGATGCAGAAGGACAACCTGCACCAAAGACGAGCATTGCTTCAAAGACTTCCAGGGGTGCATGGCATTGCGATGCGTCGCCTGACGATCCTCTGCAGATTCCTTTTGCAAGGGCGCCGTAGACAAGGCTATGGAAGCCACTACGAGACCAGTCGAAGGCATGTTGATGAGGGACACCTGGATGCACGGATGCCCGGAATTGCCACCCAGAAATTGCTCAAATGAGGTGGCCTCATCCACGGCAAGCAAGCTGTTGCCAACATCACTATAAAACATGCCACGGCCTGCATGGAAGGCCAACGTCAGCAAAAAGCATTCCGAAGTGAGCTAATTAGCACAGGAGAAAGCAGCTTACAGCGAATGGTATGTCAAGGCTACTTCGCGTAGAACATTGTGAGGCCAACGTGAGCTAGGTAATTCCAGCCCTGCTTTGCCCAGATGTTCCCGTGCCCACCTGCACCATGTGCTTTGGAAGCTCGCGCATCCATGGCCACTTGCTCCAAGCGTCGACACCATCTTTCTCGCCCCTCGCACGGCCGCGCCCTAGCTGTAGCAGCCCCTGCCCTCTCACAAGCAACGACCCTCCAGCGGTGCAACATGGACGTTCGACGGAAAAGACAGTCAGCTCTTGAGCACAAGCGCCGCTGGTACGAATGCTGGTACAGAAGGGAAGGTCGAGAAAGTTGCGTTCGCATTCAGGGTTGCTTCAAGACGGGCTAATAAAAGAAGCTAGCACCCCCCGAGACTAGGAGGTTGATAAGGGATGAACATCTAGCGGTGGGAAGTAGGATGCGCCCATGTGTGTCAAACGTATTAAGTGTTCCAAAGTGCCTGGAGCAAGCCACAAACGAAGCCATCTTGGCAATCTTCCGGTTTGCGTGAGCTGGCGTCCTTACTAACAAAAATGACAACTTGCACTGCACTTCACAGCAGGCTCTGCTTTGAGACTTACAGAACAACATGACATGCAAGGCTTGTGTGCGATCAGGATACACTCATCCTAGCACGCGAGTCCTCTATTGCTCAGGTTGTGGGTTTGCGACGGCTGAATCACCTTCCCTGCCCTGCTTCTCGGTTCCATTCTTTGCACGATGCAGGCTACCAAAATTGAACTCCAGGCATCTGGCCTATATAATATGTAGATCTATACATATTATGTGCAGTTGCTATCTTGTGCCGCGGAGGCCTGCTCGTCGAGGCACTGCTTTGGTACAAAAGGCTTTCGCTAAACTCAGACTGCACCGCGGCTTCTCCGAAGCAGCGGCAGGATAATGCGAGTGCTCTCAGCAATTGCCTCATCCCTTGTATAAACGATAAGTTGAGAAGAATGCGAGGAGATTCGGACCCGAGCAGGGAAATGGTGCGATAGCAGTGACTGTATCAGGGTAGCCACAGAAATCATCATCTTCGAATCATCTACCCTGTGGCTGTGCATGGAGGTGCTAGCGAGACGTCTTGCTGCCATCAAGAAGCATGCATGGCAAGCGGAGCTTTAATACATTGTTTGTTGGAGTGCTTCTCCTTTTTGTCCGCGACTTTCTGGTGGCGTGATTTATTGCTGCTGTTGCTTTCCTGGGATCGGCAAGCGGCCAATGTGGGATTCTGCTTCCTGTGCTTTGTTTGAACCAAGGTGCATATTGAAAACAAACCGAGATGGCATTAGGACGCGAGAGAGACATGTTTGGACATCATGTGCACTTTTCTGAACCAGTTGGGTATCCAAGGCAAGCGCAGTCGAGAGAAGGGCCGTTCAAGTTAACTTCCACAGCGCAAGTCAAGTGGAGCGGCGAAGTAAGTCCTGGGTCCTAAGTAGTTACCTTGAAGAAAAATACTCTGGAGGCGATGCCTCCCCGGCCTACCTTACCGGCATGCGTAGTCACGAGAGTCAAGTCAACCGATGTCTGAAGCTTTGCAGCCTGGACAAAACCTTCTTAAAGTGTCGAACCCGTCCTCAGTGAGGCGGCATGCTTCAATACAAGAGTACACCCACATTCTCTCTTCCTCCTCCGCCTCTCCTGCTCCTCCTCAACTCTCGCGCTGCATTTCGTGTGGGACAAAGTCACCAGCAAGGTTCTGACGGCCACTCACGCCCGAAAGCCTGGCCCTATATCAATGTCAATATCCTACAGGCAACCGCTGACTGCAACGGGGAGGCTTGCCGGAGAATCCACTTCCGTCTGCTCAGCTTCTTCTTTCTTCTGTCTGCTAGCCTTCCCTTTCTGCTGTGCCATAACTTTCCGTTAAATGGTGTTGTTCTGCTGGGAATTCAGCCGATTCTTGCTTGCTCTTCCGACGCTCTTCGCTGAGCCTTTACACCCTCCCAACCTCTGCAAAGTCCTGTGCCTGGGATCGTTCACGCAGCATCGTGCTCAAAGGCTCAGAGGCAGCCGAGCGACGATGCCGACTACGAAACGCCGCACCACTGCTGGCCGCGACAGGAGAAGCTTTGAGCTTCCGGCTCGGAGGCAAAGGCCGTGACGTAGAGGAGCTTCCTTAGCTTGCTAGATCTAGGACCGCCAGGACTTCTGTCTTCATACAAAAAAGCTCCGCAGCTGCTTTGTCCAGTGCCACCTAGCCGCACCAAAATAAAGAGAAGTCGCAGGATCGGCTGGGTATGGGCACGCAACTACTCGCCACACTCCGTCCCAGCTGACTTTCAGGTCAGTCCTGGCTCGGAAACTATTGGGTCCAGTGAACCCGCAGTTCCAGCAGCATCCCAGGTCGCCCGTTGACTCAGACAAGCATCGGAAAGCCTCTGGAGAAGTCAGCGGGGATGCTTTGCCCAAAGCGCTGCGAAGGAGGTAGCCGTCCCAATGCCAGTTCGAAGCAGCGAGATCTCGACCTGCTGTCATGTCTGCATCGTCGTAGAGGTTTTGCAGAAAAATGCATCCCACATCGCAACAAGCGCAATAAGTTATAAGTGAAACACTTGCTTGATCTTTTGAATTTTTCTTCCCCCGTCCCTGCGGCAAACTCAGGCGAGACACGATGGCCGTTTCTGAGCGCCAGCAAAAGATTCGTGGCCCAAAGTCAAGTTCACGAGGCCAGCTTGGGAAGAGCCTGGCCAGCGCGTGTTCTGCAGAAATGCGACGACGTGCGATTGTCACCAACTGAAACTTTACTGCCCGGCCCGACTCCAGCCCGATCTAGACACTCGATGGGGACAGACTTTACATGTCGGTCCCGTCAGATCCAGTATGGACTTGTGCACAGAAAGAGCATGTTTGAGATTGGACACAAGGCCAAGACACAACTCGTCCCTACCTAAAAGCACAAGACATCACAAGACTATTTGCAAAAAGAAGAAGAGCAGGAACAAATGATATCAGCTTTGCTCTTTTAGGGTTGGCCTGCTGCGTATTAAGGCGAATACATGCATGCTTCTTTCGGCCACCGTGCCTGCAGTCAGGTCCTGGATGAGCTTGGAGACCGCCGTGGCCACCTTCTGATCACCTGACTCCAAGCGCTAGGGACAAAAACATGTGCATAGCCGTTTAGCACCTTGTGCCTCTGGGCCTAGTCTAAGTGTCCTGGCTGGCCCAGTCCCATCGAAAGGCTTCTGGATGAGCCAGACGAAGATGCTGGGACAAGACGCCGTCCACCAGACCCTCCGCCTCACCTCTTCATGAACATCAAGCACTACCGGCAAACACTTTGTTTGTCTAGTCTATTCAGAGTCTACTCTGTGCCGATCTCAGCTTTTGGCTCCGAATTCTGCATAATACACAGTGCATGCATGTGCACACAACGCCACACCGTAAATCGCCGTGGCCGAGATGGAGGTTTCTGGCGGGTTGCGTTTGTGAAACCTCCCCCACCCAGGCCGAATGCCATCCCGCACATGTATCACAGACTCCAGCAAACATCCCTACCAGCGACCAGTGCTGCCTTTTTGACAACTTGCCTGGCCTCAGAAACAAACTCTTCTGCTGTTCAGAGTTGTATGACCCCGCTACACAGTCTTGCACATTACATCCTGAAACTCATCTACTGTTGCACTTGCCGGCCAGCAGACCCCGGGTGGCCAGGGCGAACTTGAAGGAAATCAACAAACAGCTTTGAGAGCCCAGTACCTGAATCAGGAGCCAGCTTTGGACAAAGAGGTCCCCTCATCGAGGAGCAGCTGCTGTGAGGACGTGGACGACGAGCGACGAGCTCACGTTCGTCAATTACCTCAGTGATCGCTGCCAGCTGCTTGACTCTAAACCGCTAGAAGAGGAAAAAACTAGCTTCAAAAGATGCTGAAAGGCGACAACATGGTCACGCAGCCTCAAGACCTAGGATCATCCGAGGGATGTGGAAACACAGGGAAGCAAGACAGCAAAGAGGAAGTGTCGACTCCTGTCTTGCCGGCAAGTCTCCAAATGTCCAGTCTGATGTGACAGCACCGAGACAGCCGACAGGGCAAGCTGAGCCTGCAATACACAAGCCACAAAGGCTGCTTTGGCTTCCCGAACAAGGAGCGCGCCCATGGCAGCACAAATAACCCATTTGTGTTTGGAAAGCTTCTCCCTGAAGTTGGATGCTGTGCACGAAGAAAGGCATTCTGTTTATGCAAAGATGCATACAGAACGAGCCATACGGGAGTTGACACAACATCTCTCGTGACCAACAATATACTATGGTCGCATACACGGGCTTGAGCAAAGCAAACGACTGCAGAACTAACCCCGTCAAACACATTAAGCTGTATTGCACGGAATGCTACGACGACAGCCTGCAGTCATGTCCACTTTGGACGGGCTGTTCCGGGCCAAGTAAACAGTGACACGGCGCAGCATAGGCACCCCTGACCATGATGCAACCCGTGAAGTGGTCTGAGTGCACAACCCTCACGCCAAGCCAATGACTGAAGAGTGCCAGCCCATACTAGTAGTGTACTAGTAGTGGCCAGGAAACATCTGAAGAGCTTGTTTGGGCTATGGTGCTGATTCGGAAAAAAAAAAACAAGTGTCAGTAAAAAAACTCAATGATTCAACGAATCCCGACCGCCTCCTTCGATGACTCGTGCTTTATGAGAAATACCGGAAGGGCTTTCAGACGATGGCTTGGCCAAATCGCAGACGTCTGTAAAGGCTTTGCTTAACTTTCTGCGACTGGGCCAATGGCTCAGTCCAAGGGCCCGGCAAGCACTGTGACAAGGGCACTCACCGCTACAACCCAGGCACCAGCAGAGTACTGTGCCATGCGGCTCTTCCTCCTCTGTCTGCTCGTATACTGGCCGTGGTAGGAAGTCTTCAGGTCATCTGGCGGTACAGCATTTCCGAAGCTTTTGCAGTCGAATTCACGGTTTTTGAACTGATCTTCCTTGCCTGCAGCCTTCATCAGTGCCAAATTACACTGTGACTTGCTTATGAGCACGCCACATCTGCTTGCATCTTGCATGCTCTCTGGCTTTGTCATCGACAACTGCAACAACACCTTGCAGTTCCCGATGCATGCCAGCATGCACTGCAAGGTCTGCTATTTGAAAGAACATGAGGATTGACGTTGGCCTTGGGTAGGGGCGACATTCTGACTTTAGGTTGACCGTCTATTGAACTGAGCTATATACATATTATGTATTACATCAAGGCATCAATAAGAATCCAAAAACCCGCAAATTGGGCTTCAATTCCTCAATACCCACGCGTCCTATTGATCCACATCTTCCTGGATCCGCTTGAAACTGCCGACGACGCCGCCAAGCCACCAGCGATAAGTCAACTCGGTTGGATTGTCGGGATCCGTAGAAACTTCTGGCAGGCATGGCGTTGAGCATGGATGGATGTCACTGCCCATGCAGGCCCAGGAGATGTTCGCATAAGGTTAACAGCTGGCGGCGAAACTTGGATAATCACAACCGCTGTTCAACGAAGATGTCTCATGTTCTCGTCATGTTTGCTGGCATCCGGCACTGTTGCAAGGAATGCCTGTTGGCGAGTAGCTTCAGTTGCGGTAACATGCGTGACGTGACCTTCAAACTTTGCCTAGTGGCTCTTACCGGTTCTGAGCCAAGGACATCGAGGGCGTTCTGACTGTCTCCTCCAAACGAAAATTGCCCCCTAGCTTCGGAACAGTCGCTTACCAACAAGACCTGGCGAAGCTGTGAAAGCCGCATGAGGATTTGTCCGAAGCAGAACGGGCAATGCTTCAGGCAACGCCGCAAGGTCTTCATTCCAACTCCATTCGTGATTGGACAAATCATGTTCGTGGAATGGAGCATGAATGCAACGGGATGCCAGACAATGCCACATGATAGGCGAGTCAAAACAAATCCTGTCAGACTTGTCTGCTGATGGCTTGCCTGGGCTGCCCTACAGCGGCAGTCTTGAAAAAATTGGTCGGGCATGTAATCCGCCACTGGCCGCGTCCCAGGTTTCAGGGAGCTCAGCAGTTTGCGGAGTCGGACTCGACGCATGCAGGAGTGTGATCTTCAAACCTGCTTTGTCTTGTTTGTCCATACCACACACACCCGCCGAACCGTTGATCGGGATGGACCCACATGAAATGTCCGGTGGAACGAGTTCGTGTTCCACCAGAGCCATGCATCTGTGACCACTCCAACACAGGAGATTTCGTCTTTGCGACCGCTCGCCGACATCCATCAAGACAGCTGCTCACCAGAGTCCTTACTCGCCTCCTCACCTGTGATTGCCCATGCCAGAACCGTCTATACCCCATGCTCTCATCATGCTCACGGTGCTCTACTTCCTCTGCCTGTCCAAGCCAAGCAAGCCGAGCCATCCGCGCATGTCCGGCGACATCGGCGAGTGTCAAAAGCCAAAGAGCGTCCGAAAACATCTGAGCACATCACTTGTTGAATGCCGCTACGTTGTGTAGAGAGCATTCTGCAAGGCAATGGCTTTGGATTCCTCTCACGGGCCCAACGAAGCACATGAACATAAGGATCCTATCTTAGGGCCCCCTGTCAGTGGCGATTCCGATCTTTATGATTGCCTTGCACAGTAGAATTCATCTGCCGACCTCTTTACAGGCAGGAGCATGCAACAATCCTTCGGGCAGAGTCGCAGTATGTCTAGATATGGCTCTCTCAGAGGCACGACACTGCACCAGGGAAGAGTGGAATGTGTAATCAGGGCTGCGGAGCAGATGTGTCCGAGCAAGTCGGAAGCTACAAGGCCCAGCTGCCACAGCCGGGGGATGCAGGCTGAAGCTTCGGTAAAGCCGTCAGCTCATGCCTGCAACAATGCGCCCGTATCCTCAGTAGGAAACTCTCATGTCAAAGAATTCTTACCTGTGCATGCACTCCCCCTGAACATCAAGGGGTGAAGGACAAGACCACATACTGATATCTAGTTCAGACAGAAGCGCTAGATCTCAGCAGCCGAGTCTGGTTTGTCCCGAGAATGCGTAGAGCTTCCATCCTGGGGAACTCAGAAAATGAGGCGCTAATTAGCAACCCCGAGGCATTGCGAGAATCGACTGGTCCGCTTCATGATAGTCAAACAGCCGAGCACGGGATCACTCCAAACAGGAATGTGCACCGCGGCGACTGCATGACTTCTGCATGTCTGCGAACGTCCTGTCTGGGCTGTCGAGAACCTCCACGACCTCTCTGGCTGCAGGATGTCCATGCCGGCTACATGCAAGGCGGATCAAAACTGAAGGCTCCTGCAGGCGCTTTGCATCCCAAGATCAGTCAGGATCCCCACACAGCGCTGATTAGAGCATGTCCTTGAGGATGGCTCTTGCCAGGGAGAGACGACTTGGCCGTGAAGCAGATGTCATGGCACAGCTTACGACTGCGGCGCCATACTGATCTGAGCCTTAGACTGCACGGTCCTGCACAGCGACACAAGACTGCCTTTCATCTCGGTCGAGCGGCTCAGCGCATTGAGATGCTCCTGCAACTCAACTAGGGCCAGCTGTGCGAAATGGCGGTGCATTGCATAGCCGGAACGTCCTCTAGGGCCTGGCACACCTCGGACTGCAGTGGGCTGTGCTGCAGGATGTGTTGCATCACCTCGGGAGATCAGAAGCACGAGCCATCATGGACGCTTCCTCGGCAAAAACCCTTGCAGCGGTCCCGAGTCTTGCTGCCGGCTGTGGCATCTGCTGTCAGGGCACATAGTTTCCGTAAGCATGGCAAGAGACCAGCGGCACCTCTGCCAGAAGTGAGCGCCTTTGTTCGCAAAACAGGATGAACAAACTCACCTCACATTGCAGCAGAAGGCGGAGGCAAAGTCATTTCTTGGAGATCTCCAAGCGTCCAAAGACAGAATTCCCGTGGGCTTACCAGCAACACGTCTCACCATGCCTCACCACTTCCGAAAATGGCGGTCCATGAGCAACGCACTACACAGAGAGGCTTGGAAAGCAGAGACTGGAAGGACCCGACCAGGAGACACAAAGAAGCCACATGGCAAACTCGCATACATGGAAGTGGCCAACAAGAAGCAGAGAACAGTCTGGCGCTTTGAGAACACATGCCTGGCACCTGTGATTGGTTTGTACTGCGATCCGGCCAGGACTGTGCGTTGCTAGCTCAATGGCCCGTGGCCCACATGTGACGAAGATGCACGGCAACAATGAAAAATTGGGCATGTAAACATGAGCTACATCCCAGGCCCAAGTCGAAGCGTTTGCTCGAAGTTGCGGGCCACCGGTTTCTTACCGTCATCAGAACTCGGTATACCATCCTGTATCATGGCACAGGACGAGTAAGGCCGTCAGCACACCAAAGCCGTCATTTCGACGGGACTGACACCTCCGGCCGATTGGAGCCCACTGCTACGCGAGGACGAAACCCGCGAGTCTGGGCGCGGAGCACCACGAACACTCGGTCGCGTCCTTTCGACGCCACGTTGAAAAATCAGGCGGCAGATGCGATCTGCCACCCTGGACCGAACTGCAACATGCCTAATGACAACCAGCAAACAACCCCGGCCAAGCTCGCAAGCAACGGGTGACCCAGAGCCCAGAACCGACCCGGCCCCGGATCTGCAGCTTACACTAAGTATGCAAAGGTCCATGCAGACACGCACTGCTCCAACACCAAATGACATGAGTGCGGACGTGACCTACTGGTTACCGGTTCGCAGAACTTCCTAAAATCACTCAGCGTCGATTGCAAACGGTTTGCAGACGAGAGTTCCTGGAGCACAGTTCACGAAACTTCCAAATCATGGCATTGACCCGGGACAAACCAAGCCATGGAATTCGTCACGGGCGCAGAAGCCCTTCAATCTGCACACTGGAGCAATGCTCGATGAGACGTTGGACGATGCGGCAGCCGTACCTCAGGAAATTCGTCCGCTCAACGCTCCACAAGATCCACGCTACGCAACTACAAAAGCAGCCGAGCCACTTGTGCTGCGCTGCCTGCACTGCAAGTCTTTCCTTCGTGAGCACATCCACGATAAACTGGAGATCTTCAGGAAACAATGCCTCAGTCGAGCATGTTCACAAGAGTAGCGAATTTGGGTGATTCCGGTTTGTCGGCCTCGGTCTTTGCGGCTTATACCTCCGA